CGAAGAGCTAATTCTGTATCGGGTCACCGAGTCAGGAGAGTTGAGATCCCGAGTTCGAATCTTGGGCAACCACCCGTGGTGTTCTCAATTGAGTTTTATGTCCTTATTATGGGCACTTAATGGCCGGACAAAAGGGCCATCGTGTTAAATTTTGTTCCGGCTTAACGACGTCGTATATTCAGCTCTTCGGGCCAATTTCTTTCGCGTGGTTAAATTGGTTAGATGGCCACGCGACAAATGCTTCTGTCGCAAGGCGGTTTTGAGGCGGTGCGCTTGCTGCCTTGGTGGGTTCAAGAGGCAGTTAAAGGGCTCTCAGAAGTAGTGCTACGTTGTCCCCTTCCACAGGCCATTCTCCAGCATGTGTGCGAGAGATCACAATCGAAGATGATTTGCCTCCTGGCTTGCACCGATGAGCACGGATCGGAATACGCTTGGGACACAAATGAATGCGCGCATTGTTGAGCAAGTGTTCCCTGCCAACATTTTCCCCAGCATTCTCCGCTGGGCGGGGAGGGGGTGGGGAGGTGGAAAAACAAGACAGATTTTCGCGAGTACATGGATTCTATATTTGTAACATTTCACATACTTTCTGGGCAATAAAGCCTGATATGACAATGTTGCTCACGGTGCATGAAGCCGGGGTCCCGCTGGGTAATGTAGTGTAACGCTCAGCTTGCTCAGCCCACATCCCCGGTCTCGACCTGACCAAAAATAACACGCGCGATAGGGGACCCTTATGGGACGGTGCTTCTATTAATCTGCTGCCTACCACAGCGACACGGCACGTTTGCCAAAGTCCGCAAAGGCCTGCGTGCTCGGAGCGAGCACGTACGTTAATCTTCTTTCGCGCCGTACGTAGCCAAGCGTGCTAATCGGAGGTGCGGGGGAAGGACAACAAACGAAACACAAAAAGCAGCTCTGAAGAAATTCGTCTTCAATCTAGATGATTTAAAAGTGCTTATTGGCGTCCTAATATAGGAAGAAAGAAGAGTGTTTCAGACGACCGCAGAAGCGCATAAATTGTTCCGTTCCAGGAAGTAACGTTTCTCTATTCACGTGTGCAGTGTTGTTGTGTTCTTTACTGAAAAGTAACGCAAAGGCCTGGTGTTTTTGTTACACAATCCGATAGGGAACGTATTTGATCATCCGTCATGAAGGGAGGTCACATAGATGCCACGGATGTTGTTTGGTTATGCGAAGCTTGCATCTTTACGCTACAAGCAGGAAGCAAAAAACCCACGATGAGGATTTTTTTTAAATGTCACGGCAGCTGTGCTTTTTTAATTTGGTTGTCAGCGTATTTGTAAAATCACCACTTTTTGCGACAAACATAGCGAAGTACACAACTCGCGTGACATTGCCGCAGACCTTTGTAAATTAACTTTCTATTCAAACACAAAAGCACCCGGCAATATACATAGATCAACATGATAGCAAAGGGGCTGAATATTCTTCCCCACCGCCATCATAAAAAAAACTTGTCTCATCACTGAAAATGAGTCGGGCTAACATTGTAGAGTGAATTCACGAATTGGGTATTATTAATAGTGGTTCGATGGCAATCCGTAATACCTGCAAATGAAAATGATTCACACCGTTTCTCCAAAGTTCACAGTTTATTTTTGCAAGCCCCATAGTTGGAGAATGTCGTCTCGTCTAACATCGTAGGTACAATAATTTTGCCTTCTCGTCTGTGACATTGGCGATTGCGATGATTTTGGTGAATGATTTTCCTGTGGTACTTATACCACCCCTGGCATTGCAGTCCGTGAAATTTTCCTTGGTTGATCACGTTCCTTTTTTTCTTTTTTGCAGTTTACCATACGAGCCTCTTCTTTTTACATTCCTGCTCTTAAAAGTCTTTTCGATTTCCCCTGCACAGACGGGGGGTCAACGTCAGCGGGGTCAATTTGAGTCTATTCATCTATTCATGGCTCGTAACCTTTTACTGTTTGTCTTACGTGCGCACGCACCGTATCTGTAGCACGAACGATTTGTGCAAAATGAAATCGCAATAGCCGGTAATGAGAGCACCACATGCTGAAAGCTAAAACCTACACCCCCCCCCCCTCCCCCCGCTTTAAAAGAGAGAAATTGTGCAATGTTATTCGACTTTAAACCAGAGCCTTCAATAATCCAATGAACTGTTTGTGTTGTAACTGAAGACGGCCTCAATGTGCTTGGCTTGGAAAAACACCGAGTCAATCCATCAGTTTAACTCCCAGAGCCACACTCGATGTGGGCACTCAGAAAAACGTGGCCTGGCCTGTGACGAAAATTGAAATGCACACTAATTTTCCTGCCCATTCCTCCGTTAAAACACCCCTCCCTCCCTCCCCCCTCCTCCTCCACCCTTACCTTCCCCGCCACTGCCTACGTGTCAGAGGCACATAAATTAGAAAACGTATTAAAGGAATGGATAAAGTGCAGGCGTAATTGACTGCACGCGTTTAAATAATTGGTCGCCCGTGGCGGCGGCGGCGGTTGTTGCCGTCGCTCTGTGCGGCGTTGGGCACCTGCCCGCCATAGGAATTTGCCGTTTCCTGCACCGACCCCGAGCCATACGGTGTCGCCGAGTCGACCGTGCATTCACTAGAGGCGTCCGTCGGTGGCGATGACCAACTCGGCCTCGAGCTCGTTTGAGACGTTTGCAGTTGCGCAATGAGAATTCCGATTTGGATTTGCGTTGCGTCTCGGTGCAACCGCAGCTCAAGGGGCGTCGGCCGGAAGGCAGGCTTGATGTTGACGCGATGCAGAACGGAGCCTCTATTTAACCAGGTGAGAATGAAAATAAACAATAACGTTTCTCGCAAACGAGACCTGGAAACCCAGTTGTACTGTGGGTGTGTGACGTACAGTACGTACACTGAAGCACGGTGTTCGGTGTCGTTGTCGGTGGCGCGCGGGAACGGAAGCTTCCAGGCGTTGAGTGGCTCCGATCCGACCGCCAGAGTTGGACGGAATGCGACGAGGGTGACGTTAAAGATGGCATGGAATCCCTCGCGAAAACAAGACGGTCATCACTAGGAAACGTGCTCGATTAAGAAACCTAGTCGATAAGGAGTTTCTGACGGTGGGATGGGCCTGAAAACTCCATAATGTCTCGGAAGAGTTGCGTTTCACATGGTGCAGATTTTTTCTTCTTCTTGAAAAAAACCACCATTGTTCTGCCATTATCTATGTTGAACTTCTTTGACAGCATGCGTAGCCAACCGTGCTAATCGGCGGTGTGGGGGAAGGACAACAAACTAGACACAAAAATCAGTTTTAAAGAAATGTGTTTTCAATCTAGATGATTTAAAAGGGCATAGGTGTCCAGTGGCTTCCTAATATCGGAAGGAAGAGCATTCCAGACGGCCGCAGAAGCGTGTCTGAAAGCGCCACGCGATGGGTTGACCGTCTTTGTTCGATGGCCAGCCAAAAGCCGCTGCTGCTGCGAGGATGACCGGAGTTTGCGTGATGGATTGTGTTTCTTTATTTTGTTTGTTGTTGTCGATATTCATAGAAAAATGTGAAGCGGCTGGCACGTCGACCAAGGTACTTCAGTCCCTTGTTCGGGCGCTTTGCGGTTTGAGCAACGGCTGACACGGTCGCTGTGCCGTCAATTGCGGTCCATGCGGGAGGTAACAATGGGGGGGTGATTCATGGCAACGCGTAATTCGTTTTGGGACGTCATTTGTTATGTGTAAGCGGTCTCTTCATTTCAAGTCTATTCTCAATTGATTTTAAACAATATAGTCCTGTTATGCATGATGTTGGCCACGTCTTCATTTGTGTACTTTCTCTCTTCATTATTTTAACTCTACTACATTGTTTTGGGGTTTTTTTTCTTCCAATCTGTTTGCAACTATTTTTGATTGCGCGATATATTTGGCCTTGGGTATTTCAGCATGTTGAGTTTTTTTTTTTATCCACAAATTATTCGTGCATTTCCCCCAGAATCCCTCGTATTCCCCTCTACCCTTAAGCCTGACCCGAGCCAAAGAGGTCAAGGCAAAGGTGCAGCACTGCAACTTATTACCTTCTTGGTTCTTTCGGTAAAGTCACGTAGAAGAAATTAATAAAACAATTCTCACTATTGAGTGAGAATTGTTTTATTCTGTTTTATTTTTATTATTTCATTACTTCCCTTCTACGTGACTTTACCGAAAGAACCAAGAAGATGAATCCCTGCAGTCACGAAAGCTTTAAATCGAAATGCAACTTATTACTCACGCCATTGCCGGCAGAAGGGCCCGTTGCACTCGTGGGAGCTCCGGAAGTACCCTAGAGGGTATTTTTGGCCCACCCTTCCACATTGGCCAAACACCTCGGAAGAGATGGGTGTACCCACACTTTAGCCCGCCACGTGTGTTCTTGCCGATCAACTAACTGCGGCGTAACCCGTGTCCACTGTTGGGTGGACAGAGGCGGAGGAGGGATTTGTAATACATTTGCCCTATTGCATCAACTGCCAACGCGCCCTTTGGATCGCAAGTCCAGCGTCCAGTCGATGCACCACACCGGCATCCGGAGACTTGTTGCCTGCATGGCCAGTCACCTCGTTGTGTGTGGCCAGTCACCTCGTTGTGTGCGGCCAGTCGCCTCGTTATATACATGGCTTGCTTGGTTAGGATTCGCGAGTTCGGGGAATCCGACGGGGGGGGCCGCGACGTGAACACTCCAGCTCTGGGAGGTCGGAAGCAAAGCAGGCGGAAGCGGTGCCACTCTTAACGGTGCTGGCACACGAGACCGCGGCGAAACGCACAAACGCAAGGACGTTCAGTGCACCTCGGAGTGAAGGGCCTAGCCAGGGCCACGCCACCGGGCCACTCACCGGGCCACTCACCGGGCCACTCACCGGGCCAATACCTCCGCGTGCCCCATACCGGAAACGGCTGCGACTGCGGTGTGCGAAGTATGAGAAGAGGGATAATGCCCCGGGCCTTGTATACCTCGTGCGTCCCGTAACGTTGGCCGGCCTCGTGTCCCCCCCCCACCCGCCCGTCTCGTGCGAGCAGACGTGATCCACACGGTGGGGCCGCGCGTGTTGGACAGCGTGCCCACGCCCGAGGAGCGCAAGCAGCTGGATGGCTGCTACAGCGAGTGCCTGCACATCGTGGAGGACAAGGAGCTGCGGTCCGTGGTGAGGAGGGGAGGGGGGGGAGGGGATTTGGTGGAAGGGAAATGCTCGAGGAGGGAGCTTCCGTCGATTGCTGCGGCACAAACCCCTCGGTGGAGGCTCATCGATGCGAGAGAGGCCACTTGAGGAGACGTCACAAGGAGACCTCTGCCGTCTCTCCTGGGTCGTTTGGCCAATGTGATGGTGAGGCCCCTCGATCGGTGTTGAGGTTAGGGAAATGTGATTTTTTTTGGGGGCACTGATGCCAATTGAACAGTTAAAAACAATTTGGCAGATAAAATCCAGATACATGAAAACAAATGATTCAGATAAATGAAACTGAGAAAAAAAGTGCATGTTTGTGTTTAGCATTGATTCAATCTTGGCTACAATGGTTATGGAAATTGCTATTTTTGAAGCAACGTGGATAATAATAACACGAGAGATTTGCAACAGAGGTTGGGTGGGTGCATTTGCCAACTCCCTGAATTTGGGTGTTAAGGCAGTCAGTTATTTGGGTGTAAGGCAATCAGTCAGTCAGATGCACGACAGCGAAACTTGCCTCGCTAATGCAAAGAAGTTACGCGCAGTGAGTGCTTATTAAATGTACTCACTTATAATAATCTAAACCCCAGGGTAATGATTATGGTGTTAGGGCAATTTAGTTATAAATTAAAATTCCCATTTTTTTTTATAACTTTCATTTTCATTGAAATCCTTGAAAGGTTACTTTGTCACGGCGTGAATGTATTGTAATATTTATAATTTATGGTTTATTAAGTTCATTAACACTTTTCAGTATTCACGAGTACATTTGGCGTGCAATATAAATTTATTAGCGATCGTGGTAGAGACGTCAGATTGACTTGTACGGTAAAGTGAACTCGGGCAGGACAACGTGGCTTTGAAGAGGTATTGTGTCAGTCGTGATGACAGAGTGGCAGCCCACGGAGGGGGGAAGGCACCCCAACACCGCGTCCAGCATGGAGATGGAGCGATGACATCGGCCGTTTTCCATGAGCCAGATTGGATAGATGCATCGCGCGAGACCGTGATGGACGGTGACAGCTGCGTGGAAGCCTGTTGTTGTTGATGATGATAGTGGTGGTCATGATGATATATTGATGTTTTGTCTTCCCATTTAGGCGTTTCCATGCATTTCTACAGGGATTTATGGTAAGCTTGCACCAATGCATCATTCCAAAAGTGTAAACGGCCTACGCGTTAACATCTTGCCCCACGGCGGCGAGAAGTGAACTACCTCACTCGGTACACAGGAGGTCGTGGGTTCGATCCCAACCCTTGACGCCTGCTGCTGTATATTTGGATTTTTCACCCTGGATTTTTCTCCGGGTCCCCCGGTTTTCCCCTCCACATTTATAATCAACGGCACGCGTTTACAGTATTTGGCTGCTGTGCATTTGCACGTGATGGGCCACTTTGTTGAGCCATCATTTGTGGCCACGTCGTTTATGAAAAATAGCTATAAAGCTCAATGTGGGCCTTACCTGGTAAAATAAAAATAGGTTTAGTTTTTTTTTACACCAGTGTTGCAGTCCTACAGAAATGATTTTGATACACCAGGGACATAAAAAGCTACTGCAGTGTTCTTCGGGATGCTTACTTTTGTCAGCTGTTATTGTGCGTCAATATTCGTTTTCTCACACGTGAAATAACATGCGATAATCCACTAAGTAAACGAAAAAGGAGTAATCAAAGAGTTGTCAAGATTACGTAGACTTAAGCCGATTCCTTTTTGACTCCGTCTTTCACACAATTAGATGTTTTCACGTAACGTTGTTATATTCAAAAAGTTTAAATGTGTTTTCCCAACCCCAACTTTTAGACTTTTTTTTTAAAGTTACTTATTTTTTTTGTCCACGAACATTTTTTTCAAGGATCCGCTTTTCAATCGGGGCCAATCTGTTGATGCTTTCCCGAGATTCAAATGCTCGTTTTGTTGTATTCATACACGTTCAGATTGCGTGTCCGCTTTGTACCCCGGCAAACAGAGCAGATCCATCAAATCCACCTCGGGACATTCTGGACGTCCGAAAAAGAAAACGGCGTTGCACAGCCGGTGGAAACGGCCCTTTTGTTCCCCGGGCAGAAAATATTAATCTTTCGCGTTTCATCTCCCAAGGGGACTTGAACCCTGGATCAAAGAGGCGCTGGCTCCGTACCCTGACTCAGTACATTAGCTCTCTGCGCCACCCACCACTTCTAAACACAACATGCAGAAGCGTTTGTCCTTAGCGTTTCCATCGCGCCGTAATGTTGCACATTCACCAGGATTTTCCCTGTCGGTATTATTTTTTTTTGGGCCAATATAAGTAACGAAGGAAAGATTAACTGAAATAAGCCTTTAAAGGAACCTGCCAAAGGAATGGCAAACGTGAGCACGAAACATAATAAATCAAATCCGAGGAAGGCGAGCGCGTGCCCAGTTTTGTGTAGGCATCGTGTGCGGGGCTGCGGATTCACTAGAACGCACTTGAAGTGTGGTGGTGGTTTAATTGGGGAGCTGTGGCACGCAGTGGTCGGTGCGCACTGCACTACGAAACTGGTGAGCCGAGTTTCATTCCCGCTCGAGCAAGCGAGAGTGAGCACGAGCAGGAGAGAGCGAGAGAGAAAGTTCATCTGGCATTGGGGGGGGGGGGGGAGGAGACGTTGGGAGTGCGCTCAGAATCTCACGACGTGCAAGCCACGTGGGCCCTCAGCCGGAGGATGCCAGCACATCTTCTTGGTTCTTTCGGTAAAGTCACGTAGAAGGGAAGTAATAAAATAATAAAAATAAAACATAATAAAATAAAATAATTCTCACGACGTTTCGGCTATAACGCAAGCAGCCGTCTTCACCTGAAGACGGCTGCTTGCGTTGTAGCCGACACGTCTTCACCTGAAGACGGCTGCTTGCATTGTAGCCGAAATGTTGTGAGAATTATTTTATTTTATTATGTTTTATTTTAATTACTTTATTACTTCCCTTCTACGTGACTTTACCGAAAGAACCAAGAAGATGAATCCCTGCAGTCACGAAAGCTTTAAATCGAAAGATGCCAGCACAATTATCACATTTCCCTTTTTGCGAGAGCGACGTACGGCTGCAACGGCGGCTGTGAACGACGCTTGTGACAAGATTAACGATCCCCTCCCCCGCCTGACCGTATCGCTGCGCAGAGTCCGACGGCCGTTGTATTTTCACAGGCCGGAGTGTTTTATTATCTCGCGATTGAGGTTATTTTTACGCTGCCACGTGTGTGCGCTGGCCGTGCGTCGTGCTGCAAAATTCAGGGCCCCGCTCGCGTCCCGCTTTTTGCCGTGCGCGACTCTGGCCGACGAATGAACGGCGGCTCGCGTTCCAGGTCGTGCTTTCGCAAACGTTACTTGTGCGTCGCCGCAGTTGTGGTTGTACATAAAAACTAATTTCTCATTATAACAACAAAAAATCCCTCCACCCACCCACCCCCCCCCCCCCCCCCCCCCACAATTGTATATCTGGATCGGATTTTCGGTGTCGTCGCGTCACGGGACAAGGCCCCCCCCCCCCCCACCTTGTCCCGTGAGCAGTTCGTAGCGACCCTTGGTGAGCAGCTACATCGTGGGACTTCCCTTGCAAGTGTCAAAAAATAAGAATAGGTTTTACCCTTGTGTTGATGTTAAAACACCAAACAGAAACCTATTGCAAGGAATTGTGTCTCTGTGCTGTTCGCCTTTTGGCATCCTCTGGTCTAACACTGTTTGAGACTAGGCTCTAAAGAAAGCTGTCTCTGGTGTGGACCAATCGGTTCAAGAGACAATGCATATACAACCAGAGCATGCTTTTTGTGTTTGCATGTTCACCACAAGTGTACATGTGGTTAATGCAGACATGATTCCTTGCAAAAGGTTTCAGTTTGGTATTTTAACATCTTACCACAACTGTTTTATTGCCAGAAAGGGTGAAACCTATTCTTTTAGACTCTTGGTGTGTTCGGGAAGGAACGGCCCACGAGATATCACAGATCTACTTCTCGGTTTCCCTTCAATTGGACTCTGGTTCACGCCGTAGGACTGCGGAGTTCTGCAACTGCCACAGGCAGCGACGTTTTGTCCAGCGACAGTAAAACAAAATACTTGTTTAAATTCTCCAACCTCAAATTAATGCCAAATTAAGTGCAGAACCAAATTGAATGTGATGGGTTTTTTTTCTTCCGTAGTCAGGTTTCCCTCGCTCTACTCGGCGGTAGTAAAAATAGTAGATGCACGATGAGACGGCTTGCCTGACGAGTAGTACACACAGCACACACACAATTGCGGTGTCTTTGTATCTGTCTGTGTGTATGTATCTTTGTGTGTCTCTATGTATTTCTCCGTGTGTATATCTGTCTGTGTCTCTGTGTATCTCTGTATGTAAGACAGCTGCCTGCTGAGTAGCAAAGCGTACACAGTGTGGTGTCTTTGTATCTGTCTGTGTGTATGTATCTCTGTGTATCTCTATGTATTTCTCCGTGTGTATATCGGTCTGTATCTCTGTGTATCTCTGTATGTAGCTGCCTGCTGAGTAGCGCAGAGTACACAGTGTGGTGTCTTTGTATCTATCTGTCTGTATGTATCTCTGTGTGCATCTCTGTGTGCATCTCTGTGCAACTCTGCGTCTCCATACTGAAGAGTCGCGCTCGTCACCCCCCCCCCCCCCCCCCCGTGCTTCCCCACACTCGAGAGTCGATGTGTTTACAGCTTCCGGCCTCCACCGCAGCCCTCCACGCTGTTGATCGTCGGCTTGTAATTGCCGTTTGGATTTGTCACCGTGCGTTGCTTCGATGCACGCGTACCTGCGCACGTTTGTGTTGCTGTGTTTTTTGTGTGTTGCTGAGGGATGGATGGTATGTGTGCATCCACGCACGCCTTTGGGGGGTGGGGGTGTTTATTCATTTTCTCCTTTTTTTCCATAAATTATCTTTTGATAAACAAAACGTGTGAACAATTTTTTTACACAAATGCTAATGCTTCTCACAAAGAAAAGGAAAGTAGTTGAAAATACCTTTTTTATTATCAACCTGGAAAAATGAGTATTAAATTTGATGGCTAGAAAATATTTGCGGGGGGATTAAGCCTTATTAAATAGTCAGGCATTTTTCTGGCGACAAAATGTGTGCCTTAAGGACGACCCCTGGGTCCTAAAGATGGGAGCTGAGAAATCCCGATGGCGGGCTCCGTGAGTTGTCTGTCCAGGGGGGGAGAGGAAGCAGATTAAAGGTTTAATTGTAGCATGACAGTATCCATGCACATGCCGGCAGCATGCCCCCCACATCTGCTGCCTTACAGATACGGGTAGGCGGGTGCCTCTGAAACAACCCTGTATTTTTAACACGCGTGTTTGTTTGCGCGCGCGTGTGCGTGCGTGCGCGCACGCGTGCTGGAAGGGGGTTGTGTAGCGGGGTTAGCGCGCTGCGATACGAACCTGGCGAACCGACTTTCATTCCCGCTCACGTCCAATAACAGTGGCGGATATCTGAACAGGTATTTGGTCTCCCCCTAGGTCAACGCAGCTTAAAATTAGTACCTAGTGCTGTGTGTAACCATCGGCACTAGGGAGACAAATGCAGCCAGGCGTGGTGCTGGCAACCCACCTCCCCATGTGCCGTGCCAGACTTCCTCGGTGCTCGCTGGCAGCACTTTCCCCAACAGCCTGTTAAGGCTATACGGGGGCTCTTTGTCTTGTGTGTGTGTATATGCATCCTGCAATCTTGGTCACCAGGTTAGAGTCCTGGCTATGCGACAAAAGCAGTGGCGTATGGTATGCACATGAATCCTGTGCTTCTGTGTAGGCTCAGCCTTATATAAAAAGTACCCGGTCAATTGCGCGAACATCATTGTTGGGCTGGTGCTTGCCTCGCCCATAATCCCCCTGTGTGCCGTGCCGGCCTTAATAGACGCTCGCTAACATCGCTGCCCCAACACACCGTACCCTCTGCAGGTTTGTGCGTCGATTTTTCAGCATTCTGCCACCGCCGGTTTTAATATATTCTTATCGCCTGTGACCATCACCCTTGTCCGGTTAAACTCGTCAGAGGGATCACGCGTGAGATGAATGTAGCCACCTCCCATGTTGAAGCGTTCCTGTGGTCTGTGAGCCAGGGCAGAATTCATTACTTGCTACAGGCGAACAAATATTTATGCCGGTGATACTCGCT